CAACCGTCCCAACAGCCATAAGTAGCTGACGAAGTTCACCAGATTTGCTTGCATAGAGGTTGAGTAAAGGTTACCTCATATCGTATAGTATTTGAATACAGCTTGATGCTGTATTAACGAAATGAGCAAAGCGTTTACATTGTGAAAATTGTTGATTTGGAATGGCCTTTCGCTCAATTTCAACTTCTGTTCAATTTTCACACTGTCGCGCCATGCCGTAAGTACTCTAACTATCAATCTATTCTCTTCAGAACTTTCTCAAGCTAATAAATTATCGCACTAAAGCTTCATGTTGATATTAGCAAAGCATTTGCTCCCAGCTCTGTAATCGTAAACTTCACTTATTAATTAACAAACACTTTGCTCCGTAACGTTGGTAGATCACATTTTCATGGTTAGCTACGGGATGTAAAGGGTGTCCCGCATCAAATTGCATCACAGAAAAAACGCTGTAGAAAATTACCCTTTGGGTATTTTCTCTTGAAAATTTGGGTAGAAGTAGTTTAGAGTGTATCGTTTACACTGTATTTTTATCGCTGTCAGTTTCTCGGAAGATGGAAAAAAAAAATTGAGTCACCCGAAAAGCAACGTCGCGAATTGATTTTGCGCAAGCACCTGGAAAATCCCCAACTCTCTCATCGGGACATCGGAAAACAACTCGGAGCCGTGCAGTCAACAGTGAGTCGTGTGATTAAACGTTACTACAAAACTCTGAGCATCGAACGGAAGGACAAATGCGGTTAGAATGGATTTTCTATTAGTGATCAGGATCACAAGCGTGTCGTGAAAGCGTTTAAACGGAATCCCAATGCTTCGGTCAGGGATGTGGATCTGTCCAAGTATTTCGTTCATAGAGCCAAGAACCAGGAGGGACTACATACGTACAAAGTTCAGACGGTTTTAAATCGTGACGAACGGCAACATACGGTGGGCAAGTCACGGGCTCGGAAACTGTACACCGAGATGCTGAAGAAGCCTCATTGTCTCATCATGGATGATGAGACTTATGTCAAGGCGGACTTCCAGCAACTTCCGGGGCTACTGTTATTCACCGTCCAGCACAAGTTTGATGTTCCGGAGAAAGTAAGGAAGCAGAAACTTTCAAAGTTGCCAAGAAATACATGATTTGGCAAGCGATCTGCTCATGTGGCAAACGGAGTTCGTGACTACCGGGACTGTAAACGGGGAGAAGTACCAGAAGGAGTGTCTACAGAAAAATACTGGGCTATTATGAAGCAGGTACTACGGAAGCATCCCAAGGAGGTGAAAAGAAAAAGTGGGTTCCCGTACAGAATAAGCTGCATGATGTGGGACACCCTTTAAGATCTACCACATCGAATTCTTCTTGTTGAAGGTTATGAACCTCGGCGAGATTGATTACAAGAAAAGGTTCGAACCAGGGTTCCGATGCATGGTCAAATATCAGTATTCTTAGTTGTTTTTCTCACGAAGAAGACCTATTTTGATGGCTGAGAAGGTGTATATTTGAAGAGATCTCAGATTTTTTTTTTTCAAATGATGCCGAACATCACAATTGAATGAGGATTCATGTAAGACCTATTTTGATTGATGAGAGGGCGCGTCTTTGGAAATGTCCTAGAATGCTTCGAATATTGTGAGAATAGTAAGTATGTATGACTTAACTGTATCGAAAACGAATACCTCATTAATTTTCCATAGTAATGAGGTACTACGGCATGCACTAAACAAAGGACACGGACATATCACAAAAGATCAATGTTTCGGTCGCATTGACCGAACAGAGGGAAAACACAACACTTTGATTAATTCTTATAAACTTGCTTGATGATGCAGATTACACAATTTTGAACGGTGAGGTTGGGATTTAAATTTTAAAATGCTTCTATTTCTCAAATAGGGGAAATGGATGGAATGTCTGCCTAAATGCCCCTTATTTGGGCCCATACATAAATTCAGCAACCGACTAAATTTTCAAGGGCGACAAAAAATATCCATTAGTACCGTCCCAATGACGCGTTCATGTAGATAAAATTGATAAATTGCAGATTTTTAGCGATGGGTCCAATCTTAGATCCATAGGCCAACATTAGAGCCATTTCCCCTATATATTTTTGTATGGTTCTACGGGTGATAAATACCCAAAGGCTACTCAATAGACGTTCTAAAGGGCGAACACGAAATTATTGCGACACATTCAACAGGGCATAACTTTTTTACCATTGGGTAAAAATCAACCAAATTTTGCACACTTTCTCATTGATGTGTATTGTGTACATGCTGTCAAACTCGAAGTCGTGTTTTTCGATTCAACGAAAATGGAGGTGAACCAACGCGAGTTGAGAGAACAAATTCTTTCCAAACACCTGGAATTTCCTGACCTGTCGCACCGGCAGTTGGGAAAAATGTTGAACATTCACCATTCAACCGTCTCCAGAGTGTTGAAGCGGTTCCAGGAGCGGTTGACGTTGGACCACGGCAAAGGAGCTGGAAGAAAACCGGGACCGGAGAACAAAAAGACGGAGGGAAAGGTGAAGCGGATGATCAAATCCCAACGTCTCAAGCCGTGATTTGGCTAAAAAGATCGGCATGTCGCAGAGCTACGTCCAGAATGCAAAGAAGAGAGCTGGACTACATACATACAAGGTACAGAACTTCCCAAACCGCGATGAGCGGCAACAATCGACGGCTAAAACTCGGGCACGGAAGCTCTACGAGAAGATGCTGTCAAAATATGGCTGCTGTGTGATGGACGACGAAACGTATATAAAAGCCGATTTTAAGAAAATTCCGGGGTTGGAGTTTTTCACCGGCAAGAGCAAGTTCGATGTGGACGACAAATTTAAGAAGAAGAAAATGTCGAAGTTTGCCTCCAAATATCTCATTTGGCAGGCCATCTGCTCTTGCGGACTGAGGAGTGAGCCTTTCGTGACAAAGGGCACAGTAAATGGCGAGATCTACAAATCTGAGTGCCTCGAGAAGCGCCTTTTGCCGTTCTTGCAGCAGCACGACGAAGCTCCGCTATTTTGACCAGATTTGGCATCATGCCACTATTCTAAAAGTGTCCTGGAGTGGTATGAGGCCAATTCTGTCCATTTTGTTCCAAAGGACATGAATCCGCCAAACTGTCCGGAGCTGCGCCCGGTGGAGCAGTACTGGGCAATAATGAAGCGGGAACTTCGGAAGAGCAAGAAGACAGTCAAAGACGAGAAGGACATGTTAAGAAAATGGAAAAAAAAAACTGAGAAACTGGTACCGGATGACACTGTAAAGACTTTGATGGAGGGCATCAAGCGAAAATGCGTTCAATTTTACACTCAAGGCTCCATCGATTAACTTTTCTTTTGATTTTTGAAGTAAATATATGTATAAAACTACCCTAAAATTTTGGTTTGATTCTAAACATTATAAGAAAATTGGCATGACATTTTCGGTGTCGCAATAATTTCGTGTTTGCCCTTTATATTAAATATTCGAAATTATATTGAATATTAAATAAAAATAAATGATGAAAGTGGCTCAAAAACATAGATTTATCCCCATAAGTAACAATGAAAATAGTTTAAAGTACATAATCTTGTGCAAAATTTTGTAATCTGCATCAAGCTTTTTTTTAAGATGGCCGCGAGACCCTTATTAAATTTGTATGGTTATTGTACCTAACAACGTGTTCAGGGTATCATCCAAACCTTTTAAAGAACAGTTCTATCATGTGGGTTATCGTTCGTGTATGGAATTTTTATTAGGGTAGGTCTAGTTTAAAAGGCCTATTCGAATTTGTTTTTTTATTATTCAGGACTAGTTCCAACCCAGTACGAAACCGATTTTATTTTCGGTGTGAACCTCGCCCTACTATAGTTTCTAAAAACAAACGAACAAACTGACGTTTGGCACAAAACGGTTCTATAACATTCCCCAGAAAACCATTCCCTAGAATCTCATTCCCCAGAATGCACCATTCCCCAGAAAAGAATTCTCCAGAATGAACCATTTTCCAGAAAACCATTCCCCAGAATGTACCATTCCCCAGAAAAGTATGCCATGTATTAGATTGACTATTTTTGTTTATTATAGTTACTCCTGGAATCTTCTTTCGCGTATATAAAAAGAATAGAAAAACTTCTTAATGGATCAAGGCGTTTTCCTTTCTTTGAAAATATAAGAAAAGGAAATAATTAATTCTTTGGATATACGAGAAAGAAGGGAATATTCCCTTCTTTGAATATATTGAAGAGAACATCATTAATTCGTTAAATATATGATAAAGAAGGGAATATTCCCTTCTTCGAAAATATAAGAAAAGGAAATAATTAATTCTTTAGATAAACGATAAAGAAGGGAAGATGCCCTTCTTTGAATATATAAAAGAGAAAATAATCAATTCTTTGGATGTATGATAAAGAAGGGAATATTCCCTTCTTTTAATATATAAGGAAAATATATAATCAATAGCTTTTCGCAAAGGATTCGGGTAATCGGTAGTTCAACGTTCCATGCACCGATTTTTTAATCCATCGCGAGAAATTTTTCAACTCAGGACGAACAATTCTTCGATAAGGTTTAACAGTTTCCGACTGGTTGAATTGGATTGCATAATAGACCCTTTGACTTATTAAATGATGAACGAAGGCTCGAAAACTTGAAGGTTGTCATTTTATAAAGATCTAAAAAATTGTTTGGAATTGATAAATACATAGTTCCATAAAAGTAAACATAGTGTATTATCAAAAAGAAAAGTGAAAATTACTAATTTAATTATCTTTTCTGGGGAATGGTACATTCTGGGGAATGGTGCATTCTGGGGAATGGAATTCTGGGGAATGGTTTTCTGGGGAATGGTTTTTTGGGGAATGTTATAGAACCGCACAAAACAAGCAGTCCTAATCTTGATACCCGATCGAGGTTGAAACTAGGTAAATCAAAAACTAATTCGGTATAAGAAACATTCCATGGAAACCCTTGGATATCCAAGGCGAAAATACATGTTTATTACATGAAATACGATTCCCACAGGTGATTACCTAATCTCGATCCTCCGCTGCTTCTCTGCGGTCCATCAAAACTGCTGGAGGAAACCTTCGCCATCTCGGACGAACTGATCACCAAACAAGTCGCCGGATTGACCAATGTCATCGGCGTCGAGCTGCTCGTTACCACGATCGTACTGGAAATGGGATCCTGCCCAACTGCGATCGCCAACGGAGGCGGTGGTGGCGGCGGTTGTAACGACGTTCGCTGAACTACAGGACTCGGAGGGGTTTCCCTCGAGCTCGATTCCACCGATTCGTCGTGATCACTCAATCCACTTTGGGTGTTGGAATCCTCGGGGGTATCGAAAAAGTGCAAATTGAACTCCGATCCGGCATCGAAACTCATATCCGCTAGGTCTTCGTCCAATTTCACTAGGCTAGAACTGAGCCCATCGGTCGGCGAATCTAGTTGGTAGACATCCATTTCTTGATTGCAATTTTTCTGAACCACTTTTGTTGCGTTGCGTTACTTTGTAACTAACGATATAACTTATCACTAACTAAATGCACTTTCATAGACACATGATAAATTCGAACATTAATGGGGCACGGGCATGGCACTTGATTATCTTGAAATTTTGACGTTTCCGGCACCGTCGATCACGAGAATTTTCGAAATTGCATCACTGCTAGAATCACTACACACCCGGCACGTAACTGCACTCGCACGCGAGAAAAGATCGCCACCCCCCCGAAAACTATTCCGACTCCCGACGATTATTGGCGCCGATGATCCAGCAGTACCGGGACCAGGTATCCATTCTAGCGAGAATCTTGCCGCAGACTGAAAGGTATAGAAAGCAAAATAAACATCGAACTTAATCCAGTCCATTTGCCCCGATCGGGCGGGCGCTGCCCTGTTGGCTTTGGCTCTCTTCAACATACACGCGACGCATGCGATGAACGGGTTCTGTACGGAAAGGATGGGATGGGAGAAATACCTGGACGCTGAAGAAGAGCGGCACCAGCAGCAGCAGCAGTAACAGTGTTGAAGAAGAAAGTCCCTTGCGCGCGCTCTTCGCGCATTCACACGTTTCCTCTCTGGCCGCCACATGAGCTGAGATTGCTCCAGGGCTCCTTTCAAGCTTGTGAGGCACTTAAAATAAATAGCCCATTCCCATAATATTTATGATTCATTAAACTGAACCATTCTGAAGTGGAGTTTTCGTCACAGGAGAGTTTAGTCAAATGCAAAAAAAAAACATATATGATTCCGAACCTACTCCACCACTAGTCATGGCTTGCGATCTAATCATTTCTTCCGAAGCATCTCATCATCAGTCAAAGGGAGCAAACAACAACCCAGCTCTAACATTCTAAGCAACCAAAAAAATGCTCATGACGGCACGCGTACCATTTCTTCCGTTCGCCATGGAACGAATGCCGAAATTGCCTGAAGCTCCGGCATGGAACGACACCTATGAGATGAGGAGCAAAATGATTTTTTTTTTCAAAACATAACCTCTGAAGAGCAGAAGAGTAGCCAAGGAGCAGTTGAAGAAGGTTCCCAACCGAAGTAGGCTGTGACTGCGGCGCAGGGAGAAACACCATCAATTCTTTCTCTTCACATCTCTTCTATATGAGCGTTGAAATGAAGAGTCTACTTTTGGATCCCCATGCATAGATTTGCTCGCATCCACATACAGGCATCCCCCAAATACCGTCCACCAGCCGCCATTTCTCGTCTGATTTTTAACCAATTGAGCTGAGGGCAGCCGAGAAATAGCGTTGGGGGAATGGCACCACCCATCGCGCTATTCGGGGGATTCCTGTACATGTGAATTCGAAAAACCTATACCTCCACATCATGGCCAAGTTCATTGCTGCCGCGGTGCGGTGCGTTGCGTTCCGTCCAGTTCCCTGATGATCTTCATAGGTGGAGATTTTGGAGGAACGTACCGCGACAAAAGCGACGATAGCAGTTTAAAGAGAAAAGCCACAAACGGGAGAAGGAGAATCAATGGAAGAATAAATCAACTTCAGTGTAATGTTGTAGGTGCCTACGTTTGCTAATAGGTTTCTTCGGTTAACAGCATTCGCGAGTCGGGGTGAACACCCCGCCGAAAGGGTGGTATGCAATATGGTTGCAAAATAAAGTTATCGCTGCACAGTGATTTAAAAGTTTGTTTTCACGCTATTAATTAATATCACAAAGGAAAATGTGGTTTTAGAGGTATGACGTCTTGAGCATGGAGTGCGCCATCTTTTCAAAATATGATTTATGTTATTAATCCCCCTTAAAGCGAGATGCAACATATATTTTGACGTAGGACTACGTCTTTGTGCACTATACTGGGGTGCAAATCAAAAAATGGTGTATTGAAATAGTGTTAGGTTTCAAACGGCTATAGCTTGATGGATTTAAAATTTTGTCACAATCGTTTGATTCAAAATTGATGTAAGAATTGTTTGGTTTAAATATTATAGTAATTTATCATTAGTAAACTATTTAAAATTGATCCAACTTTGTGGCAGCAATCAACCGATCACGTGTTTACTTGCTATTACAATCGAGAAAACAGAGAGAGACGAACAGGTTGATTGAATATGCTTGAAAAAGGAAAATTTTATGTCTTTTATGTTTATAAGTACACTAGTCCACGGCCAATGAGATTAATTCAAAATTGAGTCGAATGTGGCTCAAAATTTGCAAAAAAAAAGATTACTAAGTGAATGATTGAATTTTTCCTCGATTTTTTAGGAAAAATTCTTGAATACCGTAGAACCCCGTTGAATAGCTAAAATTGCATTTAAACGGCGTTACCTTGAATTTGATTACCGGGTATCCCTACTGTTCAATGGCGCTACGGAATGTAATTTAATTGACCACTTTGTCAAGCAGTTTTGGCGTGACTTTCTACCAGCGATTTCACAAAACTGGTCCAAATAATTTCTATTTTTTTGTGAAACGCACAAATGTTGGCTACTTTTCTCGAGGTTCTAAAAGAAAAAATCTCAAAATAATGTTTTATTTCAAAGTTCGAGTGGTAGTAAACGTCATTTTAAGTGCTCGAATAAAGTGGTTAATTGTGATATGAATTCGACTCAGGTATTGAGTTGCTTTTATCCGTCGTGTAGACTGGGTAGATTTTTTCTCGATTTTCGTCATATTCGAGCAGATTTTAGAGGGAAATTTGACTCACTCAATGACAGGGATGGAAAATCATTTACATTCATGTCGAGCATTCATTTACATTCATTTGCCTCTAAATTTTTTCATTAACAGAATACCGTAAAATGATGTATGAAGCTTTTGTAGCTTTTGATATTAACTACAACTTATGTTAATAACTAAAATCTGAGAGGGGCGACCCCGGCGTAGTGGTTAACATCCATACCTCTCACGCCAAAGTCACGAGTTCAAATCTCACCCCCGGACAAGTCACGAATGACCCAAGAGTGTTAAAGTGACTATAATAATAAAAAAAAAAAAAAAAAAAAAAACTAAAATCTGAATCTCTTATCCATGATGAAATAGAGCTGGCAGAACATGTTATTGTTTTTCAGTGAATGCAATTTACATTCACTGAAAAACAATGGTGGGTGCTTATCGCTCTGATTCATCATGCATAAGAGATACAGATTTGAATTGTTTACAAAAGATGTCAAACACTATTTTACGGAATTCTGTTGATGAAAAAAGTTAGAGGCAAATGAATGTAAATGAATGCACGAAATGAATGTAAATGATTTTCCATCCCTGCTCAGTGAGTAATTCTGCAGTCGTGGGATCCCATGAATTCTACAATCTTTGTTAAGTCTGACATCAATGATTTGTTATTTATTTATTTTTATTTATTTATTTATTTAGATGGATGTCCACATCAACAGACCATTTCGGTCCAAATGATGTTTTACTTAAGACTAATATTCATGAGTTAAGAGGTAAAAAAATAAAACCAACTAAACACTCACTGGACACTAATAATAATAATAACAAAAGAAGATCTTAGAGTTTTCCTCAATTGTTCGTCGCTTCAGAAAAGACCTCAGTAATTCGGCACCATAGCGTAAGGCGAGGGATATCGTAGTCGAATACCGAAGCGACTTTATCGAAGGTCCTTTGAATGCCATCGATAGCGGTATGCATCCCATAATATTTCCGGCGTAGAGGTAAGCGCAGCATATGATTGCTCCGTAGGGCTCTGGGCGGGATATTTATGGCGATATCCTGCAGAACGGCGGGGCAATCGATTCTGTTCTGAAGAATGTCTACTACGAACAAGGACACTCTTTTATTTATTTATTTATTTCGTCAACCAACGTAGACTAGTACAACTAATACAGTTTTGTTTTCTTAAATATATATTTATATAAAAAAGTAGTGTCAGCTTTCTTGTCTTTTCTTTTATGAGTTGTTATTTCTTATGGAATAAAAATATTGCTTTAGTTTATGCCGAGACATTGTAAAGTCAATGGTTTCGCAGTGTTTATTGTAAGAGGCCATCATGCGGTGTAATGGCCCATATTTTGCATAATTTGTGCGATGATGTTTTATGGCAAATAAATTTCGATTTCGGAGTTGCCGAGTGGGTGCATGGAAATTTAATTTTGATAAAAGTTCTGTTGAGTCGATTCGCTGCGAAACGATATCATTTACAAATGAAACCATTGCATATTCACTACGCTCTTTTAATGTTTGTATGTTTATAAGCATGCAGCGTGCTTCATATGATGGAAGAGGAAATGAAGTCCAACCTAATTTACGAAGAGTGTATAATAGAAATTGTTTTTGTACTGATTCTAATCTTTCTTCGTGCGTGATTGAAAATGGAGACCATACAATGCTGCAATATTCCAGTATTGACCTCACATAGGCAATATATAGTGTTTTAATTGTGTAAGGTCCTGAAAGTTATAGCAAAAGCACTTGATAAAGCCTAGCATGTTATTTGCCCTGTGAATAATTGTATTGTAATGGTCTATGAAAGTTAGCTTAGAGTCTAAGATAATTCCTAAATCCCTAACTCTTTCACATTTGTCTACAGTTTGATTTCCTAATGCAATTGAAATGTTTGAAGTTGTTCTTTTTCTACTAAATGATATTAAGTTACATTTTTTTACATTCAATTCTAGTAGACTTTTTTTGCACCATATGTAGAATATGTGTATTTCATTCCGGAATATATTGATGTCTTCTTCATTTCTTATTTCCAAAAAGAGCTTCATGTCGTCGGCATAAATAACCAATTTAAGTTTTTTGAGAATGTAAGATATGTCGTTTACGTATAGAATAAAAAGGAGAGGTCCCAAATGAGAGCCTTGGGGGACGCCTGAAGTGACTTTAATTGGGCTCGATTTCTTTCCGTTGAATTTAATTATTTGTTGGCGGTTAGTTAAATATGATTCAAGCCATTTCAGGAGCCCTGACTTAATTCCAATTTTTGCAGTTTAAAGAGTAACATTGGTATGTCAATGCGGTCAAATGCCTTGCTAAAGTCTGTATAGAGAGCTTCTACGTGGCTTCCATTATCCATTACATTCAATGAATAGTCTATAAATTCAAGTAAGTGAAAAAGCCGTGTTGCATGTCAGTAATTCTATTTTTGATTTGGAGAAATAATTTTTCGTTGATAATTGACTCGAAAAGCTGCAAGAGATAATGGTTATACCACGATAATTACGCACGTCAGATTTTCGACCAGATTTAAAGATA